TAAAAAGATAAAAAGAAAGGAAATATTGGGTCCATCCAATCCTGAGATAAAGAGAGGAAGGAGAGTACCACCTCATTAAGGAGCAGTGGGATTATCACGGGTGATTCCAAGTTTACTTCATGATGTCAGTGGCTCAGTTTGATGCTTTGCTAGCGATACTGGAGCCACATATTAAAAAGACCACCAATTTCTGTGAACTCCGTATGCAAGGATCTTTACGGTGCTTTGTGCTGTGAGATGAAGTGGATCAACTTATTGTCAGTCGCTCTGAATTGTCAAAACACCTCGAATTTTTTTATGACACATGAAAGTTTCGGAGGCAGTGTGTAAATGCGACTGACAACAGCGCGAGGTCATATTTATTTTTTAACGTCCGGAAATTTTGGGCGAAAATCAGTGTGCAATGACCTTAAGACTTGTCAGTACATTCTTTAAAAGATGGGCCAGAGATTCACCATCTTTTCTGTCAGTCCGATAAAATCAGATGAATGATTCATGTACAGAGAGGTCTCTGTGAACATATCTTAAAACCACTGCAGCTTGCTCATGCCTACTTATGTCATGCGTTTCATCCGCAATAAGGGCAAAAATTATGGCTTCATGTGCTCTCTGTATGATGTCACTTTTAACTTGACCGGTTTATCACTTGATATTAATCAACCCTTTCTGGTGCTTGCTATGGACATCATGATCTCTCTGAATAGCTGGTCAATTAGTTGGCTATGAGTGGCCCTCTAAGAGATTATGATTCATCAGTTTCATCATGACGAAGAGCAATACAGGAACGACAACAGAAGAGCACAGTGTTGCATGTTTTTTCAGATATTCTCTGTTCTCATCAACTCTGTGTGTTCACCGCTGATTTGAGTGGCGACGCTTCCCGTTTGTTTTCCAGTTGCCAAATCCAGACACTTGAAATGTGTCCATCGTGGACCAAATGCATGACTCGTGAAACAAAACACCTGCTCAAGAGTGGGACTATCTTGGATAAATGGAAATGTAAATAATGGTTGATATGGCCCAACCCCAATAAAGTTTGCAGATGTTTTTGGTCCGTGAACTAGATCTTGATCAGGATGCGCGCTGCCTGTGGAGGCTTGGCTAACCGCTCCAAATTTGGGGCTGTCGTCTGCTCACAGAAGGATTTCACGTCTTCTGAACGAGTGACACTTTGTTCAATCAACTGTCCTCCATCAGCAATTTCTGTTTTTGTTATTTTGGAGAAGTAGTTATCCATATTATTGGGTTGTTTAATTATTTTGTTCAATCAATCATTTAGTTATCTATGATTTTCATACCAACAACGATAAACAAATGTGAAAATTAGATGCAATCTTTTCTTATGCACTCTCTTACCCTTTCCCCCCATCGACGCCCCTGAGAGGGAGTGATTTCCTTTCCAAGTCAGTTGTCTCTTTTGACAGCAGTGTGTACTGATGTAGTCATTTAATCAATTCCTGACTATCACTGAAGATGGACTTTGCTGTACAAACCATCATAAGACACACATCAGTTGGAGGACTAATCATTCACAGGGGTCACTGGTGTTTGGAGCCTGCTGATTGCAGCTGTATGTTCAGTTTGTTTTTGTCATTTATGTCGCTTATGATCTACTGCACTTTGAAGGCAGCAGTCGATGTAGGCAGTAGACAGCAGGGCAGTTCAATAGGTCTTTGTGACAAAATGGACACTTTGGGACCGTTCAATGACAGCAGAAGATCAAATAAATATCTGCCTTTCTATGATATTACCCTGCAGATGCAGTTTCCTTTTCTGAAATGGCTTTCAGGATTGATCAATCTTATTGTTGGTGAAATTTAATCCATTTGTTTTGACACCACCCTATTTTTTGCTCAACTTAAGCTACATATTTCATAAAGAGAAATTGCAAACATCATCATGACACATTACGGCCTTACATCCTGCTTAATTCTATTACTAGGGCATTGACAACTCACAGAAAATGAATAATGTCCGCTGGCTTTGGCTCTGCATGTGCAAACGCCCCTAGACTACTACAGTTTTTCCACCATTAATCACAGGACCAGTCATGCAGAATGATTAATCATTTTTAAAGGAATAATTCAGTTTTTAATACAGTTTAAGCTCATACAGCACGTGGCATAATGTTGATTACCACAAATTAAATTCAACTTGACCCTACTTACAAATAAAAAAAAATAATACACAGGTGTTTACTAAATTACATTTGTAATCAATTACACATGTATAGGATACTTATCACATTAACCATTTGCCAAAATAATTGGAAACTTTAAAGGGGTCATTTGATGCGATTTCAAGTTCCTTTCTCTTTGGAGTGTTACAAGCTGTTCGTGAATGGATAAGATCCCTAAAGTTGCAAAGACTAAAGTCTCAAACCCAAAGAGATTCTATATAAAAGTTAAGACTCGTCCACACCCTCCTAAAACACCTTGTTTAAACACACCCCCACGTCTACGTCACGATGTGTGAAGATTTGCATAATGCCGCCCAAATGTTCACGCAAAGAAAGAAGGAGTAACTTT